TCTCGATAACTCTAAATGGTTGATTAGTATCATTTGGTTCTGGGTCGTCTCATATGGAGTACGGAATATCAAAGACAGCCCCTAGCCGTACCTTTAAAAAGAGAGATTTTTCTACAAAAAGTAGCAAGACGTACATATTATAAGTCTTAACAGAATTTTTTTAGATGTATAAGGTTTAGGATATGAGAAGGGCAGAGGTAGAAGTGATGTGTGCTTGTGTGTGCAAATGCAGAAGTGAGTGTATTAATGTTAGACGCAATTGTGTGGACCCACGCGCAACTGCCTTGCGGGCCACACAATATACTAAACCTAAGTTTAAAGCTACAATCCCATCCTAAGGTATGTGGAACACTTTAACTCAGTCTTTGCGCGAACCTTAAATAAGTACACACTTTAATATGCAGACATATGCAGTCTTAACCATAAAGGTTAAACACGCACTAACCATCCTTAGTGGGTATTGAGCTCACATCTTCCCGTTTAGCATCACGATGCCAAGCCACTTGAGCCAGTCGCCATAACTCATGAGTTAGTGCTAGCATTGCCCACAGCAGCATTCTTAACATAAACTCCTGGAATAGCAGATCAAAGTACCAGCGTTAGCTATCCGAGAAGCTCTCGATGCCGCTCCTAAAAGCAAGCAAACGAATTCATCATCTGTGCGTTTGTTGACGCGGACATTGAGAGTCAAAGTTGAAACCACTTTCATGCAAAGCTTACGGCAACCCTGTACACCATGCAGATATCAAAAAGCAACAGACACATACATTCTATAATTTCTTATATTTGCATACAGACTTGGATGGCACTGTCACCAAAGATTTGGCTCAACTGAAGCTGACGGCTGCTTGTATGGTGAGTAATGATTTATACTGTTCTAGTTTACCGTTCGTGGCCTCTTAGACCCTATTTCATCTAGAAGAACTTCATGAGGAAACGTACAAAAAACCCATGTTCTTGAAATCGCGTTTTTTGAGCGATTTTTTAACCAATGGAAGAGCCTCCAAGATAGCCCCAAAGTCAGGTCGACGAGCTGGGTCGTGATGCCAGCAGTGTTCAATTAGCTCGCCAATTTTTTGTGGCGTCTGACGAGGCAATGCGGGACGCATGAGTTGGCGAGCAACTGCAAACGCGGCTATAGCAACAAAAAAGTGAAGTCGATAGTGACAGACCAAGATAGAGCAATTCTTACCTTGAATCGGGGTCAGACCACGAAATGGTTGATCTCTGGCCAAAAGTTCCCACAACACGATGCCAAAGCTGTAAACATCGGCCTTGCTGGAATATGGTTCGTGGCGAATGACTTCCGGTGCCATCCACCTATAAGTTCCTGTTTCAGCAGTCAAGTCTGAAGAACTGCCGAAATCAAGCACGCAACTCAATCCAAAGTCGGAGATCTTAGCAGTACCATGCGAATCGATAAGCACATTGCCAGACTTCAAATCCCGGTGCATAATAGAGCACAAATGAAGATAGTTCATTCCCTTTTCGCCCCACACCATGAAATATTTGGTGAATCAGTAGCGATAAATAAGTGAAGGATATTCATCACGTACCATTGCCATTTCTGCTACCAAGCGAAAAAAATCTATCGGTCCTTTTCGAGCACGTATGAGATCCGTCAACGTACCATTCTCCATAAACTCAAACACTGTGAACAATAGAATAACGAGTATCATCATTAGATATCCATACGCATCAACAAGGCAACGTATCTTGCCTAAGCAGTAACGTGGTGGACTGATGGCCACACCAAGGAATAAGACAATGTTTGGATGGCGCAGTTTGCTAACAACTGCAACCTCGCGATAGAATTCGTTGAGAAGTTCATCGCCGACGATTTGAGTATTTATGGAGGAGTCGACGATCTTTGCCGCTACATGCGTGCCTCGCCACCAGGCGCTATACGTACTGCCAGAGCGCCCCTTGCCCACAGCGTCCTTAAGCTGAACCTCGTTAAGGTCCAGTTCCCATTCAGCTCTAATTTCATTTTTGTCCACCATTTGGAGTACACCCAACTTTTCGGCCAAGCTCTCATTTGCATTGACCTCGAGACTTTGTCTACTCGTCGGACTTGGTGGCGTATCCTTCTCTAGACTAAGCCATTTTAGATTTTGTTCAATTAGTGTACGCAGCTCGTCTTGTCGTTCATCGCTCATAAAGGACCCTCTCACAACGAAACGATCCAGTAACGTACCATCCGACGTAGTCATTACATCGGCATCCAGTATATTGCCCTTCATCGCAGTAAGTGCCCGCGTTATAGCATCAAGCATATTATCACGGTCTAGTGACACCACCACCACTTCACAAACATTAGCCACGATCCTAGAAGAGGTAAATCAAACGCACATTAGTTTTACACAACGCCATTGCACACGATGGACGTACTCTCCGTTATCGTCTTTCTTAAGCTGAGCATTAACCGCAATGGCTGTCGGATCGCGTTGATTCTTCGCAAGTAGGCGCATATGCAGTGGCACGTCATCCGGGTTGACAGAAAGCGCGTATCTTGCTGGCAAGCGACGGAAATGGGCCTGAACAGAAGCAAGCACGGGTTCGTACAAGTGATTGAGCACCTTGCGCTGACCATATGAGCCCGAAGCCGACACGTAAACATCTCCAACCATGTGCTTCACAACAGCACGACACATATCATTAACCACCGAGCTCTTTAGACCTTTTTGCACGCCCAGTGCCGACGGCTTAGGTGCAACAGGAAAATACCCCTTTTTTTCCAAGTCAGCCAGCGCTTGGTTGCTTTGAGCTTTCTTGATTCCAGTCACCAACTCTGGAGAACCGACAGAATTATAGGATCCAGATTGGAACTTTACCGTTGCTACACCTCCAGAATGAGTAGCGTCCATCGCAACGATTCGTTGCGACAATAGGCGCGCACGATCGTCCACATCCAATGGAGCCATAGGCGAAACTGGTGGCACATTCGCACGAAGTGGAAAGTTCTCAAAGCGCTCAGCGATACAAGGAAGTGAATTGGGCGAGCGGCCATATACGAATGGTGAGCGGCTCAAGATGTCCTCATTGCTCATACCGTTGCCGATACTATCGCAGCAACTCAATTCACCAGTTTCAAGCCGATTAAAATCAGCACCCACGTGCGAACCGGTTCGCCACTCACGGTATAATATGCGTGCGTCCGATGGAGAGTGGGCAGGGGGAGATGACGCAATCTCGGCGACTAAATCGTCGGCGCTGTTTTTACGGCCGACTGAGTCAGAGAGCGAAGTAAACGGCAAGAAGCTACTAGGGTTGAATTGCTGATTGATATCTTCGTTATTGAGCATACGAGGCGGACGCGTCCCAGGTTCTAACAAACGCGTAGAGTGAGTGGTTGCTATGTGGTGCATCTTCGGTCGTACACCGCAGTGGTGAATAGGGATGGGTATATAGGGGTTTCTGTTGTATCTATCCAATCGCAGAATTTAGCCATGCCAAGTCGGTGATGTCGTGTTGAAGTTTCAGCAACTGCAATCGATCGATCGATGGCATTAACGCCGGCTAATAAGTTCGCACCACATAATAATAATCAAAAAAGGAATGCAATATGGTCGTGGGTGCGTTGCAACAAAGTTTGATTTTCCTGGCCTATTGTCTGCAGCAGTGTGGTGGTTTCTCGGAAAGGTATGCACATTATAACTGTACTGTCTATGTATTATTAGCCCGCAGGGAACATTGAGCCAAACTTTTGTCAAATCAGTAGTGAGAACAGCCCAAGTGTTGCACAACGACCATTATGCCTTCCTCCCGGCACACTTGTCGGCATCATAACGACCACAGCACGCCCTGGATCGCTAAAACTAGCTACAAATTGAGATGACATGGAAATAGGTGACGGGTCTGCGCTGTAACTTTGGTAGCGGGTGGTGGTGTTTAGCAGCGCTACACGAGTCGGTGGTGCATACGTCGGCGTAAGGCGGTGGCTCTGCAAATGTGTTGAAGTCGTTGCAAAATATACAAATTAGCGGAACTATAATTTCGGTTGTTAAGGTGTTGGCATTGGGAACCCTTATCATTGAATTCTACATTTGTTGGGTATCAAAGTTCGTATGTGCAGTCTGTGCCTGCAGTACCCAAAATGTGGTAGGTTAAATCCGCTCTTATTTAAATTTTTCCCATCAGCTCAGTTGTATAAGTCGCCAACCAGTTAATGAATATTAACATCATCAAAAAAAAATATATTCATCACTAGCGTAATGGTATTGCAAGATTCTGAATATCCCTTACCGCTTACTCAAGTTTACAAGCGCTGAGAGAAACTTGGCCTGATCTGCCGTACGATGCACGTAAACAATTTTGTCTCCGCTAAAAGAGAAATTGCTGACTCCATCAATGGTGACACGACGGCCCTTCACGCTTTCAATCAGCTCAAGAAATTCTTTATTCATGCTGACACCAGTGCTCTTTATTGTTCCAGAAAGCGCCCAGTGCACACGAAAGTGCTGACTTCGCGGACCACCACAGTCCACCTTGACATGATGCAAGCGAACATCGCCGAACAGATAATTTGTGCAGAGGTAATCCAACACCAAAGCATCCTTGCCCCGCAGGTGTACAGCGGAATTCTGCGGGCCACTTACGATCGAGTCATCGCGGAAGTACTGGACTGTTGATAAAATATCACCTGAATTGTAGGCCTCTTCAACATTCTTTATAATTTGAAGGCGTTTATTCTGCAACTGCTGATATTCCTTATCAGTAATAGTCAAAACGACGTTGGAAGCGGAGACCGAATCCTTTTTCTCTAAGCTGCGAATTTCTTGCACAAGCATATCGCGGTGCTGCTCAAGGCGCATTTTTTCGTCCTCAAGATTTGAAATACGATCCAACTTGCGTTGGCGACTTTTGCGTGCTGCAATACGGTTTCGCTCGCGGCGCAAGTTTGTTTCATCTATGGAACCATCCGACTCAGAGCGATTCGAGCCATTTGTACTGGCCGACGCCTGTGCTGAGACGTAAGGATCATTCTCATACGCCGACAAAACAGTGCTGCTAGAATACTGCATTTGATTCACCATTTCGTTCAAGCTTTCACGCGTCAAACCACTATCAGAGCTTGAATTATCCATCACATAACGGTGTACAGGCTCAGCTGGCGACGGCTTGTGCTTTTTTGTCGATGATCCAGCGCGCGGCTGCATGGCAGCGTGAGTGCTGGTACGATAGTAGCGGTCATCGGTCATGCTATCATCTATTCCCGCCGAAGACGGGGACGTGCCACGCAGAT